CATTGTGCAACGTCTACGAAATCAGCAGAGGAAATGACGGGATGATAAACGAAATTTCAGATTTAGTCAACATTATTTTCAAGAACCATTTACTTGAGAACATCTATGTATTGACAGTGACATATACGATATCTGAGATACTTTTTTCTGTGGTGCTAATGAATTCAATATTTATCTTCTCTTGATTGACAGACTTTTAGATAAAGTAGTTCATCAGATATTTCTCTGGTATCATTTACACAGGGTATGCATATGATATTAATGCAAAATTAGTACTTAAGTCTTGTATTTCAGCTATCGGTTTCACATTGAGAATTTAAAAATTACTAGCTGTAAGCTTTCATATTTAATTCAGCTTACCCTCACAGAATTGAAACTGCTGGCAATAAAAAGGAAATATTTACATGAATTATCTGCTGACATCATGCAGTTGTGTCGACAAAAATAATTGTAAAAAGGATATTTAAAATAATTAGCCCTTTCGATCAACTTCGATAATGCAGTCAGAAAACGAAGGTTATCAGAATTGTCTGATATATTTCCGCAATAAATTTCAAACAATCTGATCACATATATAATTATCAGAAGGGGTTTTGTGGAGATTGTAGTAATTTTAATGGTTAAGATCATATACAATTGTTAGAAAATTTTTCTGTGAAAAATTAAAGGTCAACTATAAAAATTAAAAGGTAAGCGGAAATAAAAATAACAAAGTATATAATGTGAAAACCACGCTAGATAATAAATCACTATTACCAGGGTAGGTTAAGAATAAGAACAAATTGTCTTTGAACACATGAAGAGGGTTTCAGTTTCCGTATAGCCAAGGCTTCAATAAACCTTAGTGTGTGCTCTTCAAGGCTTTTGCACAACACTACAAAGGCTGACTTGATATCAACCTTATGGCTGGTCACAACCAAATATTTTGCAATTGAGGAAGATGATTGTTCATCGTGCGATCTTATTTGACGCTTGGAATTCATTTGTATTTGCAGCCATTTAGGTGTGTTCAGTCACCCTTACTTGCAAATCACGTCTGCTCCTCCCTATGTACGTGTTTCCGCACACACATGTAAATTGGTAGACATAATCGCTTACGTGCTGTTTGGATTTTTTGTGAAGCATAGAAGTTGTCTTTTCAATAATGACAAGTTGAGTTGCATAAAATGTCCGGTTGATGGATAATTTAAGTCTCCGTCTCAACATGAGACTATTTAAGTGGCATCTAAATGGTAACATAATGTAAACTCGCTTTTTGGGTCCCAGAAGCGTCATGGGTCTAATCGTATTGCAACCCTTCCAGCGGTTTGTGAACTTCAATGAATAACCATTATTCATTAACGTTTCAGTCAAGAATTTCGTCTCTACTTCAATAGTCTCGCTAGTACAAATATGATTGATTCTATTGAATAAACCCTTTATTCAGAACAAATATAAGCGAACAATATTGTTTTCGATATGATCCTCATCAGGCTTTACTCTAATATACAGTAATATTTATATGCATATACGAAATTATTAACCCAATCAAGGTAGTTTATGAGTCAATGATAACGATGAATAAAACGATTACATAATATGTGAGAAGTACAAATTGATAATGTGATGACATGTGTACTAGTTGTGATAAGAAAGGCTCAAATCAATGTTACATAATCGGAAATAGGTCAATGATTAGAAAAAATATAGATAGTGAGATAACATTTATAAAAACTATTATAAGATGACGTAATAAGAAGTGTTCAGATAATTGAACCGTGAAAAATAAAATAAAATGGTAGGAGGGGGTGAAGAAAAATTAATAAACGAAGAGAAGGTTTGAAAAGAAAATAATAAGTAAATTCATTTATTAAGGCCAATGGACAGATAAGGGTGTTACAAATTTCTTCTGAACACAAAGACTAGGCTTGTTGGCTCGAATTCCTATAGCTTCGATGTGTAAGAGACGAGATCGAACACCATAAGGAAAACTAGTGGGAATACGATAAATAACTTGAAATGATTTGTTTCTGTCCACTATATGACCACTACCGATTAAGTGTGATAGAACTAAGCTGGGTATTGTCTTTACGTAACCTTTTCCTAACCACGATGCGAGGTGTTCACTAACTCTTGGTTCAGTTGCCTGGTAGTGCGCCCAATATAGTTTTCTCCGCAGGAGCAGCTGAATTCATAGATACACATAGAAGTGGCATAACCAGGTAACTTGTCCTTCAGCTGGGGAATCACTATAGATCGGGTCGAATACGACAGACAGAGGTTGGCAGCATTAAATGTTCTCTTGACTGCTCTAGTCAGTCTATCACGTAATACATCACTAGCTGCATCATCATTGAATTGCAGCTTCAAGAAAAGAGGTTTCTTTTTAGCTGTTAGTGTCGCTATCTTCTTGCTTGTTATACACAAGTGTTTCTTCAAGAAACCCTATGGATATCCCATTTCAATCAACATATTATGAATTTGCTCTAATTCCGTATCAATTGTGTCAACTGAACGTATCTTAATAGCTCTACTTGCCAAGCATTTGACTAAGTTTCTCTTATAATGAAGAGGCACAAAGCTTAAAAAATGTGTTTATTGGCTTGAAAGACTTTTTCTATACACACCTCTGCTGATAGAACCCTTTATTAATCCACGTTTGTAATGAATTAGACGACTATGGAAATTAAGATATTATCCTGTCCATGTTGGTTTTTTACATAGTCAGTTACGACGTAGAACTTCGTACGTACATCAGTTCAAGTTGCCATACATTAGAGATGCAGGTGTCGATTCAAATCTTATAGTGATAGAGGTAAGAGTATAAGCAGTAATCGGAAACATTAGGTTTTAAACATGTTATTTAAGGAGTATAATCTAGTGAAATAAATTTGGAAAGAGAAAAAAAGAAAGGAACATAGAAAATTCATAAGATTAGAATTTGGGAGAACACAAAGTGTGGATGCACCTGCGCTATTGCAAACGATTTTGAGCCATATCATTCAAGGTCTCTAACCATCGGTTGCTATTATCTCGCGGACCACAGCCAGGTAGCCTACACCTACCAACATGGCTCAGTCCACTTGTCAGTGATTTCATGGATTTGTGCCAGACCAAAACATGGCTTTCTACATACAGAACGTTTGATGGAACCATCATCTCTCCTACTGATCAGTATGTCTAAAAAAGGAGGCCGGTTATTCTTCTCTTCTTCGCATGTAAGAGAAATATGCTTTAGACTTGTGTTGAGTTTTCTTAACAAGAGGTTCACATCTTCAAGTTTATCACCCATGATTACGATGTCATCCACGTACTGCTTATACAGGCACATCTTCTGAATTGAGTCTTCAGCTAGATTTTCCACATATTCCATAAACACATCAGCCGACAACGGTCCTAAACAGCTATACATAGCTACGCCATCAATCAAGTGCTGACATTCAAAAGTGAATTCCATGTTTTCAGTACATAATAATAATGTCTTTAAGAGTTTTAAAAGAAAATGGCAACGGTTTAATTAATGAGATATAACCATATAAAATATTAAGTCTTTCTAAAAGGTAAATTTGTAAATAAAGTGTTTACATCATAGGGGCACACTGTCATAGATTTTTATATTAATATTTATTAGGTACTTAAATAATCTGAGTCATTCAAATAATATTGACGAAATTGATTTCGAATTTGGTTTAATACTTTTGACAGCCATTTTGCCAGATTGTGTGTAGGTGACCAAAAAGTTGATATATTTGGACGTAAAGGAGTATCGGATTTATGAATTTTTAGTAATATCTATAAATTAGGATACACCGAAACCATAGGTTTTAATTAATCAAACTCCTCTTTGCTGATAGCATTCGTGTTTAACAATTTCATTACATTTGAGTTTACTTCCCTTTTTAATTTACATAATCTATCAGCGTCAATATCAGTCATAAATTTGCTTTTATCACTGAGAATGGATTTCATTTTATTTTTGCAATAGGACTTATTCATAATAACGACATCTGATCCTTTATCAGGTTCAACTATAATAATGTCAGCATTATTTCGCGACTATTTTAATGACTTGAAGTGCTCAGAAGTTAACATGCTTCTCTGCTTTGGTCCAGGAGAATGAAACTGGTGCGCTATATCTAATAGTTTAGCTTTAAACCAACTTTTATTCTCTAAGGATGAAGCGGGTAAAGCACTCAATTGATCACAGAGGTTTTCTAAAAGGGTAATGATTGTCAATCCAGAGATTTGCGTTGCACGGACAGAAAAATTAAAACCTAGAGAAAGTATCTCCTTTTCATGAACGGACAATACAATGGAGGATCAATTAATGATATATCTATCAGAATTGTATGGGAAAGAAGTAAGATGAATATTATCATTACGGCAAGACTTTTCCGGCGTTTTCCTGGTCCGTTCTTTCGTCTACAAAATGCAAGTACCACAAAAATTGATGACTGACATGGCAAACTATAGCTATTTCTGACAATACAGGCAAAACAGGATAGACAAACATCTTCCTCAATTGCAAAATATTTGGTTGTGACCAGCCATAAGGTTGATATCAAGTCAGCCTTTGTAGTGTTGTGCAAAAGCCTTGAAGAGCACACACTAAGGTTTATTGAAGCCTTGGCTATACGGAAACTGAAACCCTCTTCATGTGTTCAAAGACAATTTGTTCTTATTCTTAACCTACCCTGGTAATAGTGATTTATTATCTAGCGTGGTTTTCACATTATATACTTTGTTATTTTTATTTCCGCTTACCTTTTAATTTTTATAGTTGACCTTTAATTTTTCACAGAAAAATTTTCTAACAATTGTATATGATCTTAACCATTAAAATTACTACAATCTCCACAAAACCCCTTCTGATAATTATATATGTGATCAGATTGTTTGAAATTTATTGCGGAAATATATCAGACAATTCTGATAACCTTCGTTTACTCACTGCATTATTGAAATAAACAGCATACCTTATAAGAATCAGGATATAATCTTAAGTAATTCCATACACTACCCATGAATAAATCTTGTCAGAAATAAGGGGAGACGTATTACGTACAAATGTAATGGATGAGTTAGAAAGAGCAATAATGTGAAATTTATAAATCGACCATTAAATCTTATTAAATTCACTACTTCCAGTTTGTGCAGAATTTTCTAACTGTTCATCTGAGTAATCGCTATCTTCACCAGATTTTGATTTTGATTTCAGTTTTCTTTTATTTAATCGTTTTGCTTTCTTCATTTGACGCTTAGCACGCTTTCTAGCAGTTTTTTCAGCAGCTAGATCATTTAATGCTTTTTGCTTCATTTGGAACTCTCTATCTAAACGTTCCTAAAGAAATAATTAATGCTACACAATAAAATATCGTACCTCTTCCGCAGTTTTTTCAATCATTTCTAAACGAGTATATTCTCTTCGTCTAATTCCTCTATAAATGTGAAAGTCCCCACTGCCCACTCCAGCGGCAGAGCCTAAAATTTGTTTGGATTGAAGTGACATTACCCCATACATTTCGAACGAATTCAGGTGGTGGTTTAGGCAGCTGAGGTTGGGCTAATTCAGGAGCTACGAGCGCTTCTTCCTTTGTATGAAATGAACGTAAATAAGTATTTGGAAAACTTACCGGATGTGCGAAATATTTCTCAATATCACGCCGCACGAAGTCATACGTGCTCATTTTGCGATACTCATTACGCTTAATTTCTTCACCAGTTTCTAGATTCACATCTTTTTGAGCGTTATTTAGATTCATAGGTATAAAACAAATTTCAACGTTTGTCTAGGTATCCAAAAGCATAAAATGTACCAAATGAACTATAAACATTTACAGTATTTGCGTGTCTAAACACAAAACTAAAACCGACAATGAGTGGAACCTTCGCTATCGCTTACACATGTCTCCGTCATTTACATGGGCAGTAGATTTTCGGACAAAACTTCAACCATTAAAATTTTCTTTTGAGATATAGTAACTATGTTTTTCCATAATAATGAGTCGAATATCGTCATCTATGCCAGGTATATTTACTAATTCATTGGAACTATTGATAGCTTTTATTACACTTGAAGGAAATATAGGTAGTTTAAAAGACCAACTTCACGCTAAAATCATTACTTATACGAACTTGAACTGTGTTCTAACTTTTATATCCTTGAAACGAACGAATCAAGTGTTTTTCGTGGCCGTTTTTCTTTTTGACTTCGAAAGAGTTTAGTGCTAATGAAGCGTTTTCTTTGTAGTTATTATTAGTGAAGAACGATATGAGAAAACTCATGAACGAAAACAAACGCAATAGTGAAGATTTCAGCTAACCAAATGATCCACAATTTATTCCGTTTTACAAAGATGTACTACGGACTTGACCTTTATTCGTTGTTTTCTTAGGCAAGTTTCGTGAAGATTCTGATGACAACAGTGGAAAAACGAGCTGTAATTTTCAGTATTTTATTTGTAAAATACCTCCAGTAATAAAAAGGAAATAGCTATAGGCTCCAGGTTTGATTAACTGGCACGATTTGACGAAACTGCACAATAATAATGTCAGCGTAGATTAAACGACCTAACTATATCTTTACAAACTAATCAATGTTGGGGTTGGATGAAAGCTTTTAAAACGAGTCATTTGATAAGATGCAATAAGTGAGATAATTCCGAAATACACTGAATTATCTAGCCAGTTTACCTGAACATACTATATCAGAGAAAATGTGTAAGATAATATATGATAAAGATCGATGGTTTGTGTAGGTAATACCTGCATAGATTAGTAATCGATTAAGAACAATAATCTGTGGCTGATAGATCTCCGTAGTCATCAAAAAGTGAACTGAAGGTAACCGAAACGCATAAATCCGACCACAGGTAGAAAGTTATACGTTGAGGCAAGACACAATGTAAGCTTTTTAAGTGTCACTATGAATTCACAGCATTCAACGGAAAATCCTTCAGGTGGATTTAATAATTTCTAGTCATAACCAGACAAACAAATCACAGGTTTTGCCTCTTGTTAATTAGATCCCGAAATCATATGATTACCTTGATATAGGTATGAACAAAACTGTTTCACCGAAGTAAGCTTTAACATGATATGAATGATATAGAGTAGCGTTATTCCAAAAACTCCAGGTTCGTGTGAAAAGTCGTAAGTAACCTCAACAGTGATCACTATATGAGTTTACAACATCGAAACAATCATACAATCAATGTGATAAGTCATAAGGCTGTATACGAATTAACGTACATTGTCTAAAGAAAAATTAACGAGTTCTATGGATACTCGATGAAGATCTCTATCGAAAACCTGGACACGCTTCAATAAAGAAGACAACAATTAACAACAGCCGAACAAGAGCAGAGAAAGTCAAGGCACAGGCTGAATACACAGAAGCAAACAAACAAGTGAAGAGGAGCATTAGAGCTGACGAGCAGAACTATGTGGAAGACCTAGTAACGACACAGGAAAAAGCTGCAAAGAAGGAAGTATGAAATAACTACATGATACAACGGAGAAACTAGTAGAGAAATATGGTAAGCCAGTGAGAACAGATGGATTGAACACTGAAGAACCCTTGAATGAGGCAGCCCCATTGAATCCACCGGATATTGAAGCAGTACTTACAAACCATTCTATGGATGTCATTCCACGAACGACTGAAGAAACCAGGGTATCTATCAGGCAAATCAAGATTAGAAAAGCTGTAGGACAATATACCAGCTGAAGATCTTAAGTCAGACAGAAGTAACTACAAGTATGCTTTACATTATATTCAGGAAGATTTGGGAGGAGGAACAAGTGCCCACAGACTGGAAAGAAGGACACCTCATCAAGATACCAAAAAAGGAGATCTGAGCAAATGCGAGAACTACAGGGATATCACACTGCTGTCAGTACCAGGGAAAATTTTTAAGTGTTGCCGAACCGGATGAAAAACTCAGTAGACTTCCAGCTTCGAGATCAACAGGCTGGATTCCGTAAGGATCGGTCGTGCATTGACTAAACCATGACACTTCGGATCACTGTTGAACAATCAAATGAATGGAACTTGTCACTATACACCAGCTTCTTTGACTATGAAAAATCATTCGACAGTCCGGATAGGAGGACTTTATGGAAACTTCTTCGACACTATGGTGTATCGGAGATCGTCAACACTGTACGGGATTCATACGACGGTTTACACTGCAAATTTGTGCATGGAGGATAGCTGATTGATGCATTCCAAGTGAAGATCAGTATCACACAAGGCTGTTTACTTTCGCTCTTTCTCCTGGTGGTCGACCAGATTGTAAAAACCTCCACATCTCAAGGGAAGGACGGAATACAATGGACAGCTTGAATGCAACTAGACGATTTGGACTTCGCAGATGACTTAGCTCTTCTATCTCATACATAACAACAAATGCAGGTCAAGACAACCAGTGTGGAGGAAGCCTCCGCATGAGTAAGCCTCAATGTAAACAAGGGTAAAACCAAGGTCCTCAAATACAACACTGAGAACAACCCAATCTCACTCGATGGAGAAACTGGAAGATGTGGAATCTTTCACGTGCCTGATCAGCATCACCGATGAACAAGGAGGATCTGATGCAGACAGAAAGGTGATGATTGGCAAAGCAATGGCTGCATTCATACATTCAGTCAGCTGCAACGTAGGACCAGGCACATATATGCATCAGTCTAAGTTGCCATACCTCATTAGCACAACAAGATGAACACCGGATTCATAAAGTAGTTAATTCAGTGGTAATATATAGAAGAAAGATTGCATACAAGGAGATAGTACAGGAAGAAATAATTAGTTGGTAGAAACAAAGATATGAATCGATTTTAATCTCTTAGTTTGAAGGAAGACAGAGAGTGTATACACCTACGCCATTGTGATCGATTCTGAGCCATGTCACCATATAAAACTCAAAACAACTGCCAGCCAAAATCAAAGTGAGAATCTTCAATACGAAAGTTCTACTGTACGGAGCTGAAATGTGCAGAGTACTACAGCCATCATCAAAAAGGTATAAGTATTTATAAGCAGTTATCTACACAAGATACTCAATGTCCGCCGACCGGAAACCATCAGCGACAGCCTACTGTGAGAGAACAAATTAGGTTTTAGCTGAGGAGGAAATTAAGAAAGGACACTGGAAGTGCGTAGGACATATATTACAGAAATCACCAAACTGCATCACTAGGCAAGCGCTTACCTGGAATCCTGGAAGTAAACGGGAAAAAAGAAGGCCGAACACACTGCGTCGAAAATTGGAAGCAGACACCAAAAGGGTGAATAGCAACTGAAAAGGATTGCCCAGGACAGATTTGGATGGAAAACGCTGGTAGGCGGCCTATGCTTCTTAACGAGGGGTAACAGGAGTAAGTAGGTAGTCAAATGTTGCTACTTTGAAATAATTACTAACATTTAAATATCGTTTAGCGTGCCGCCAAGCAGTTTACAGTCATTAATGCACCAAGTAGTAAGCCGGTACTAATTGCAGCAAGTGACTTGTTGGTGAAGAACTTGCACGTACCCTACCTGGTGTATACGGACTGGAAAAACAGTGCTCAACCAGGTGACGATTGGTCAGTCATCAGGTGTGACGTTATTGTTCGGCGAATTACCCGGCTGTCAAGCCAATAACGTGACAAAAACACTGCTACTAAATTCAGGGAAGTCCAAAAAGTAATCCTATTAGTATTTTAAAAAGAGATATTGAAACGGAAAACAGAGTATTTGTATGATTTAGTCGGCATGAATGTGGCTGAAATGAGGGCTGCAATTGTGCGTGCTCATTACATGAAGTTCAGGCTGCTCGACACTATATTGTGGCCAACTGCACAGTGAGTACGTTCTAATTATAACTGTTTATAAATAGTTTTTCTACACAAGTGGAGACGCTGCCATCAATACCTGCGTCAACGCCTGTTGACATCAGGCTTGTTGTTGAGTAACATTTACAATCTAAGTTGTTTTAGATTTGTAAAACTCCATGCTGTACTGTATCAATGTCGTCAGCAATACCAAACTCCAATGCCAATGTTATGCAGCTCATGTCTCAGTCTAAGTTTGACGTGCATAACAATCCGTGGGAACTTGACATAAGATTATCAAGTTCTCATTTCTTTTTGACATCTGAAGAGGAACTGTGAACGTTGGATATGTATGTGTCTTTAGCAAGAAGGCACAAGGGACAAACTCATTGGATTATAACTTTACATATCAGACGGTCATTGTGCCGCAATTAAAGAATGATAATATCAAAACTACCATGCGCTATATCTTATTGTATGCTGTGAAACCTGGAACGGTTAGCCATATTACACTCTTAGCACTACAACAAGAAAAGAACTGCAGAAGCGCATATTTTTTATTCGCATATGAATTAGTTATTTTATAATCATTAGGCGCACTAACACCACGTATTTTATCGTCAACTGCCACAAGAAAAGACCTTATTTTCATGGAGTGAGATGAACTCCAAAAGCGCTGTCAGAGAAAATGTAAGTAATAAATTGAAATGACAACTTTCGATTGCTGACCTATAGATTCAGTGTTCTGCATCGACAAACATTACTGGAAATCTCACTTTATGTTGTCAGTTGTTGGCATTATTGGTTGGTTTTTATTAAAATTCGGGATTCACAAAACAGTTACTACGATCTTGAATGGGAACAGATAGTTGAACGACTAGGACCATATCACATGTCAAGTAAACACAGAGGGTCATACAGTGCACATGTATGCATAAATCACATCCAG